CTGGAACTCACTTGGTAGCCCAGGCTGGCCTCGAACTCACAGAGATCCACCTGCCTCTGCCTCCCAAGTGCTAGGATTAAAGGCGTGCGCCACGACCGCCAGGCCAATGTCTATCTCTCGATGGAAAGTCCAAGAATCCAGTCTGATGACAACTGTGACATCCCCATGCCAGTACCAGTGGGGTCAGATCCCTTTGCCCACATGTGGCTAGGCCAGGGCTCAAGCACTGGATGATAGACACCTCCAGCCACCAGTCACCATTGCCAAAGCCAGCTGGGAGTAGGAGCTGTATCAAGACCGGAAGCAGAGCCCTTCCCTCCGATCATGCACCGCTTCCCTGAACCCCAGCAGCTCCACAGTGGCAAAGGAGCCTGAGAAATGCAGCAGCTACCTTTGGCCCCTGGCATGCAGAGTTCAGAAGAGCAGGCACTGTCTGGCCCAGACATCTCTCCAAGTATTTTAGAAAGTGTTAATAGGTATCTAGTTTCAATTAACCCCATATAAATACGGGGTATAAAAAATCTTTTCTGATTGTTGCTCTTATGGAGGAGCAAAGAGGAGAACCATTTTTATATTATAAAAGTTACGTGGGTTTGAAGACAATTTGGGGCATTTAAACTCAAACAACATGGAAGAGGCTGTTGGAGGCTCATTAGGAGGATCGCCTCCCCCCCCCCCAAGGTGCGGTGTGTCTGTCCCTGTTCTCCCTAAGCCCGTTATTTAAAGCTCAGCCGTCTGAAGTGAATCCTGCTGTGTGGGTTTTTATACTTGGTACACACTGCTTGGTGCTTTTCTAAAGCAAAATGTTAGCTTTTCTGGTAGCAATCTGTTTGCTTTCTGAGTTTCTTTGCACATTTCTGTAGATGTGTTTGCCTCCACTGTGTCTAACGCCAGTGGGCAATTATTCTGATAATCACACACGTGATTATAAAGTTGGAATCATACCCTCGAGAACTTGAATTAATGACAAAAATCCTTTAACATTCAGGGTCATATTGCCACAGAAAGGTTTTAAAAATTGAATGTCAGTTTCTGTATAGTTCACTGTGAGTAGAATTACAACGCTCATTATGTGGGATGATGGCAGGAAGTCACTATAGCATTCACACGCCATATTCACACACAATAGATTGAACTAACAACACTATTTTAAAATATCAGTATTTATAGTATACTAGGAATTCATTCCCTTGCAGTTATTTAAACTGACAAAGAAAGTATGCACGGATTAATGTATATACATGCATGTGATGCATCCTCAAATTTTATGTGAGGCGTATATAGGCAAAACTCTTGTAAAGATGGTTGACTTACATTAGAGAGTGTTCTGAAGATGAACCTCCCCAGGTATCTTCATGTGTATTTCTCTTTCTCCAGTTTGATCTTGTCTGTGCCAATGCCTGGATGTTGGACCTCACCCAAGCCATCCTGAACCTTGGCTTCCTGGCTGGGGCATTCACCTTGGGCTATGCAGCAGACAGGTAGGTGTGGATAAGATAACCAAGTGCTTCACTGTAACATATGACCTATGTATGGGGAGGAGAATGCTTTCTAGTCACTACATTCAATTTTTTGTTCCATTACCCAGGACATCCACACTTGTTTGGTTTGACTAATTCTTTCCTTTTCAAGCTTCCTCTCCTTGTTCCTTGGTAGAAAAGGTGCCCTTGTGGGTCTGAATGCATCCCAGGAAAAACACTGGCCCCGGTGATGTCATGGCTCAGGTGACAGGTGAGGGTGGATTTAGGGTGCTCAAGAACAGTCCAGTGGTTGGGGTTTTGTTAATTTAGTTATGGGATCAGCCACTCCAATTTTTTTAAATTCTTGTATTTTATTCTACAAATTGTATTGAAACTTTGAAAAGAAATTTTTTCAAAATTATTCAGGGATTTTCATGTACATTTCAATTCTTTTCTCAATGGCTACAGTTTGGAACTAGATTGCATTTTTTCAAATTTTGATTTATGCTCATTTCACTTTCCGGTTTTGTCTTCTTGGTTTTAGAGAGGGTTACACTATGTATATTAGGTGAAACTCGAGCTCATAATCCTCTTGTCTCTGTCTCCTGAGTGCTGGAATTGCAGACATGCAACACCATGCCAGATATTTTTACTGTAACTTTAATTCTTTTAATTGTGTTTTGCTTATGTATTTTATCCTGCATGATCAATAAACATATCTCCTAAAATAACTTCACATAGGAGAGGACCCAAACTCTAATCAGGGCTGAGGGTCTTCCCTTACTTAGTTCTTTGGAGTGAACAAGCCAGACTTAAGAGAGGGAGCCATAAGTAACCCTGTCTCCTATCAGCATAGGATGAGAGGTAGTTTTATTGGCATATACCTGTAGCTAGAGTTTTCCTGCCTTGTCCACAGTCAGGACAAATCTTTGTCACCCACCAGTCCCACAGCTGCTCAGACCCAACCAAGTAAACACAGACACTTATATTGCTTACAAACTGTATGGCCGTGGCAGGCTTCTTGCTAACTGTTCTTATAGCTTAAATTATTCCATTTCTATAAATCTATACCTTGCCACGTGGCTCGTGGCTTACCGGTGTCTTCACATGCTTCTTGTCATGGAGGTGGCTGGCAGTGACTCCTTCCGCCTTCCTGTTCTTTCTTTTATCCTCTCTGTTAGTCCTACCTATACTTCCTGCCTAGCCACTGGCCAATCAGTGTTTTATTTATTGACCAATCAGAGTAATTTGACATACAGACCATGCCCCAGAATATACCTACAAGAAGACAGTGTTGTGGGGGCCGGAATCAAGCTTAAGAATCTAGATGGGGACTTCCAAGTGAAGAGCTTTTTGTCGCCCCTCAGGCCTGACAAATATGAGGCTGAGCAAACTATAAAGAAAGTCAGCAGCTCTGCCCAGCTGTGAGGTCACAGGGCAAGCAGCGGCTCCCCAAATTGGAAAGCTAGGCAGATACAAGTAACTGGTGCTTACTGGAACAGAGACTGCTGGGTAATGAAAACCTGACCTGAGTGGCTGGAGTGCTGGAGGAGGCTTAGTGTGTGAACACTAAGAGAGTGAAAAGCCCTAGGAGAAGATGGTTAAGGGTAGGTCAGCTGTAGAGGAAAAGGGAGGAGGGGAGGAAGGAGGAGGCCAAGGGGGAGGAGGGAGGAGGGGAGGGAGAAAGCAAAATCCAGGGAGATGCGGTCATCAGATTCCCTGGAGTTGGAGTTACAGGTGGTTGTGAGACCTCGAGTGGGTGCTGGGAACGGAGCCCGGGTCCTCTGGGAGGACAATGGGGATTCCTAATTATTGAGTCATCTCTGCGGCCTCATGTTTGTGATTTTCACCCCTGTGAGTCTACCAGGCTCTCATGGTGACTGTCAGAAGAAATCCCTCCATGCTTCTATTCATACATAATAAGGCCTGCTCCCAGAAAACACACACACACACACACACACACACACACACACACACACAGAGAGAGAGAGAGAGAGAGAGAGAGAGAGAGAGAGAGAGAGAGAGAGAAGACAAATACTACAACCCCCCCCCCACACACACACACCAAGCCTGGTTAATTAGAACCTAATCTGCGGGTTTATGAGTATCAGATCCGAGGGATGAGAAATACCCATCCTAAGTCAGTATTAGCCTTCCATGTGGGAGGAGCGAAGTAGAGAGACCTGGCCCATTCTACTCACCATCTAGTCCAATTCTAATCACCATATCCCAATTAAAGTGAAAAAGAAAAAAATGTCTGCAATGTCATTGTCCACAAGCTAAAGGAACAATTGAAGTTTAGTCACAGGGCATCCTAAAAAGCAAAGCAAAGCAAAACATAAAATGCCAGCAGACAAAACCACAGCTTGAACAGGGACAGCACACATCAGAACCAGACATGGGCATGGAAAGGATGTAGGGGCTGTCAAACCAGAAAAACGTAAAGCTGTGGTTAATGTGGTGAGTGATTAGTGGATAAAATACAGCAGGGGAAAATGGACAATGCAAACGACGATGGAAATTCTAAGAATCAAAGAGAAATGCCCAAGACCACACACTGTGAAATGGAGAATGCCATTAACGGATTTATTAGAAGACCAGACGTGGGGAGACAGCTCCGTGGGTACAGTGCTTGCTGAACAAGCACAAGGCCTCGGTTTGGATCCCCAGAACCCACATGAAAGCCGAGTGTGGTGGTGCACAGCTGTAACTCCAGTGCAGGAGGGTGGGACAGAGACAGAAGGGTTCCTGACGCTTGATGGCCAGCCAACCCAGATGAATCGGCAGACTCTAACATCAGCGAGGGGTCCCTACCCCTGATGCAGGGTCTCATGCAGTCAAGGTTAGCCTTTAGTCCAGGTTAGCCTTGACTGCTCTTTAGTCAAGGGTGACTTTGAACTTCTGATTGTCCTGTGTCTACCTACTAAGTTCCAGGTCACAGACACATACCACCATGTCCAATATAGGGTTTCCTGCATTCCAAGCAAGAACTCTATTACCTGAGCTTACACCCAGCCCATGACCCAGTCTCAACAAAATGGTTTTCAGAGTGGATCAAAACAAGATCCAACAGTAAGTTGCCTACAAGTTATTCACTTTAAATATAAGGATGCCCACAGTGAAGGGTGAATGAGTGGAGAAACATGTACCACACTAAGAACAACCCAAACCAAGTAGAACTCATTATATTAATACTGGGATAGCACACTAAGAACAACCAAAATAAAGTAGAACTCATTATATTAATACTAGGATACCACTCTAAGAACAACCAAAACAAAGTAGAACTCATTGTACTAATACTAGGAAGGATAAGCTTCTCCAGGGAAACACAGGGTTACTTACAATAATTTATTACTTATAACAAGCAGGACAATCTTTAACATATATGTGCCTAACAACAAAGTATCAAAATACAGGAGGCAAAGACTGAAGGAAGCACAGGGAGAAACAGATGAATCCCTCACTGTAGTTGGAGACTGGAATACTTCGTATCTGAAATGTGAAAATCCAACCAATACAATATTATAATCAAGATGTAACTGACTTCAACAATACCATCAGTCAACTGGACATATTGGACATCTACAGACCATGTCATCCAACAATAGCAAAATACAGGTTTTTCTTAAATACGTGAGAGACATTAATAAAGTTATATTCTGGGCCATAAAATACATTTTAACAAAATTAAAGGAATAGAAAGTCATACCACATTTAATCTTTTGTCTCCAAGGAATTAAACAATAAATCTGCAACAAGAAACTGGAAACCCCCAAAATACTTGGAAATTAAGCATCCATACTTGTGCTAACAGAGAAGAAATCTCAAGAGAATTTTAAAATATTTAAACACAGTGAAGATAAAAACAATTCATCAGATTTTATGGGTGCATCAAAAATAATGCACAAGGGAGGTTATAGCATTGATATATTTACTAGAGCATCAGATTGATCTAAAACCCACAATCTGAGTTTATACACTAGGTATCAACAACAACAAAGATGACCAGATTAAATCCAAAGTGAACAGAAGAAAGTTAATGACACAAATTAGAACCAAAAAATTGAAAACAGTAAGTCAGTAGAGAAAATTAATGGAGTCAAAAGCTGGTTCTTTGGAAAGCCCCCAAACCTAATAACCTTTTAGACAAGCCAACTAAGAGAAAAAGAGATAGGATTCAAATTAATGATCCCTTAAAATGGTTTCAAAACCCATAGACTATAAAAACATAATAAAGGAACGGTGTAAATGGCTCTATGGCCCCAGAAATGCCAAGACCAAGGGGGACTGTTCCTTGAAAGACATATTCACTTAAACTCATACAAGAAGTGAATTATTTTAATAAGCCCATGTCTATTAAATAAATTGAGTCAATAGTGAATAACTTTCCTAAACAGGAAGTACCAGGTTCAGATTTGGAGCAGGTAAATTCTACCACATAGACAATAAATTACTCACAGTTGTCTCCATTTCTTTCAGAAGATAAAGAAGAAGAAACACTCCTGAACTTACTCTGTGATGTCAGCATTATCTTATTGCCAAAACCAGATGAACATACTGCCTTTAGCTTTCATAAACACAGATGCAAAAAACACAGGATAAGGGTTGGAGAGGTCGCTCAGTGGTCAAGAGCACTGGCTCTTCCAGAGGATCCAAGTTCAATTCTCAGCACCCACATCTCAGCTCACAATCAGCTGTAATTCCAGTTCTAGGGGATCAGGTGCCCTCTTCTGGCTTCTGCAGGCACTGCACACATGGTGCAGAGATACATGCAGACAAAAAACACCCATACACTTAGCAATTTTAAAACTAAATAAATTCAGGACAATGTATTAGCAAGTGTGTGGAACCACAGAAACTGTTGTTCATTGTTGGCAGGTCACATTAATGGCACAGCAAAAGGGAAGCCAGCTTGTCAGTTTCTTGCAAAACTAAATGCATAGAACTAGAAATTATAGTATTGGTATTTACCCAACAAGGCTGAAAATGTACATCCACATGTAAACTCTCATGTGGTCTGTACAGCAGATTTATGTATAATTGCCAGCCTTTGGGGCAGCTTAGATGTTTTTCAGTAGGTGAATGGAATAGTACTCCACACTGAAAAGAAACAAGTTAGAAACCCTAAAAAGATATAGAGGAAACAAACTTAAGCCCACATTGCTAACTGAGTTCAAGGAGCCAGTCTGAAAAGACTACCTACTGTACAACTCCTATAGAATCTCAGAACATTGCTACAGATCTGTAGAACAGTCCAGAAAATTGCCAACTATGGAGACAGTGGGGAAGTCTGTAGTTACCTGGGATGAAGAATGACTGCTAAGAACAAATAACGAGTTCCGTCATTTTTGCATCCCTACTTGCAATGAGTTCAGGACGCGAGACTCTTCCGTACGATGCGGAAGGGTGGATGCGTCCCACAGAATGTCCAACACAAGCGTGAACCTTGGGTGGGATGAAGCTCCGTGGCAAAGCCCCTGCTCTGCTTGGGCGAGGACCTGGGTTTGATCCCTAGCGCTGGAAAATGAACCCCGAAACCCTAGTGTGAGCTGTAGACTTGTGTAATGGTGTGTCACCTCCAGCTCATTAATTGTTACAGAGCATCACTCAGCGGAGGAATCCGTCCGTGATAGGGCAAGCTGTGCATGTGTGAAAGGAAGGAGGGGTGCCTGGGAACTCTGTCTTTTGTGCTTAAATTCTGCTTGAACCTACTATTGTTTTGAAAAACAGAGTTGACTTTTAACACATGTGGATAAATTAAGGCTGTTTCCATCTCTGCCCTTAATGCAAAGATGCAGAAACAAGAATGTTGCGGAAATTTGTAAGGAAAATGAAAGCTCTCAAAGGGCATTGAGGATGAGCTCCTTGTCAGCCCCTCACCTGGCAAGACTCCGGGAATCAGTTCACAGCAGACTGGGAAACTGACCACAGCACCCTGCCCGTTTGTCTGAACTATTTAGCTATAGTTCTATAAATCACAAAAACCCAATAACAACGCACACTGATCAGGAACTTTATAGAATCCCATTTGCTCCTCTTTACCACTCACTAGGGGAAAGGGTTGGGTGGGAAGCAAACAGAACCTGAGTCTGGGAGCGCTGAGGAGTTTGCCCAAGGTCATGACTGCTAACTGGATGGAACAAGATTTAAATGGAGGCTTCTGTAATGTGCCACGGCCGCTTCATTGTGTCCCTGCCTCCCTGATACTCCACCCACAAAAATGACAGCAAATGTCAGGGCCAGGCCAACAGGGAAACTGCAAAGAGCAGCATGGTAGAGAGGGTCACGGCTGGGAAATCTCCAGTCTCAAGGGACGTGTTGTGGGCTGTTCATTGTGTAATGTTATTCCAGAGATGAGTTCCATTTGGTTCCATAGGCATTATTATCAATATTGTTTACCGCGATGGTAAGTTACAGAGGACGCATATTTTTTTCTTGCACATTTGACTTCTTTTTGCATCCTGTCCCATCCCATTTCTGTTATATTGAAGACCATGTTTAAGGTTCTCTCTCTTTTCTTTCTCATGAAGGTATGGCAGGATAGTCATTTACTTGATATCCTGTTTGGGTGTTGGCGTCACAGGGGTCGTGGTGGCGTTCGCACCAAACTTTTCTGTGTTTGTGATCTTCCGCTTCCTGCAAGGTGTGTTTGGAAAGGGGGCGTGGATGACCTGCTTCGTGATTGGTAAGACTTGTTTGGCTGCAACCACTCCTGCGCGAGAACTAGAGGGGAGGGGCCTAGCTCAGCACCCCCCACCATGAAACCCCCCCCCCAACCCAGAGACCTCATTGCAGCACTTCCTCAAGTAGGACAAGGACTTGGGGTGGGATCCCAGCTGCTACGGAGACCGGAATGCTGTTTTAAATTGGGAACCAGATATAGAACTGTCCCTTGCTTCAGTTACTTTGATCTAGGCTGCTCCCTTTGGCTCTGGTTCTAGTCCAAACCAGCCACCAACGTTAAGTGGTGGAGGATTTATGACCAAAGCAATAAGAAAGGTCATCTGATAGCATTGTCCCAGATGTTTGGCTTTCCAATCCCTCTCATGACTCCTGTGGGAGACCCTACAGGATGCTTTACATACCTGAAGCTCTTTTGATGGTGGAGAAAGGAGGGCACAGGGAAGGGCTGAAGTCACTGGCTGGAACAGAGGGATAACTGAAGTGTGGGGCATTTTTAACATGACCCAAGTCTATGTGGATGTTCAAAACTGAATTTAGGGCAGCCACAAGGCAGCTGGCATGCCTCAGGATGATGAAAACAGAAAAACCAGTTAGTGGGAAGGTGCAGAGGAGGTCAGGATTCCAGCGACAAAATTTCCCAGGTGGATTTTACAGATCGGTTAAAGTCAGACAAAGGGGTTTCCTAATCTAAATGTCTTGGATGGTGGAAAGTACTGGCAGAGTCTGATATCCATGGCAGCTCTCCCAGAGAGACTATCATGTACACATCCTTAGAGTTTCAGTGGTAAGGTTGAGCTGGCTTGCTGTTTATTTTGATAATGACCATGGCCTTCACAACAGCCATGTTGAGATGACCTAAAATCAGCACAGGTGTTCCTTGCATTCCTCAACCACACCCAGAGGGTGCTGGCTTGGCAGCCTGAGGATCAGGGCAGAAAAAAGTGGGAGAAATGCACATAAGGTACCTGGAGAACCGTCGTCAGAAGTCCTGCACCTATAGAAGCCTCCATGTCCTTACGTTCTAGGGTATTCTGATGGTGCAGGCAGATTTTTGACAGGTGTCAAGTCTGTTTGTCTTGGTGTTGGCTGGGAACTCCCCTAATCTCTTGTGTCTGTTTTCCTCCAGTGACGGAAATAGTAGGTTCGAAACAAAGGAGGATTGTGGGAATAGTGGTTCAGATGTTCTTCACCCTCGGGATCATCCTCCTGCCCGGAATTGCCTACTTTATCCCCAGTTGGCAGGGCATCCAGCTCGCCATCTCGCTGCCCAGCTTCCTCTTCCTCCTTTATTACTGGTAATGTGACTTTGGTCATTATTGTATTTATCCCATTGCACATGAACGTAGAGCCAAACCAACACAGAAATGAAGGCAGTAGATGAGATTTCTAAATCCCCAGAATGCCTTTGGTTTAGGGAATTACTAGAGAATTTTGACAATGTGCAGAGCTTATTGGCTGCTTGACTGACAGTTGTCACCACCAATAGCAAAATACCCCAATACAAAATTCCAGGTGAAGTAATTGCATTGTGATTTATCCCTTTGCAATGCTTTCATGGGAGTTATGAGATAACAAACTCGGTTATTTCGCCATGCAGATTAAATATGATAAAAAAATCCATTAAGCAAATTAACATTCTTTGATGAATAGGAGGTTAAGAATGTCAGAGAAATAAATGATCAAGATGTTCCGAATGTATGCATTTGACTCTTGGGAGAGGGTGGAATATAATTTATTCCTCTCATTGTATTTTAATGTGTGGATAAATCAGGCTTCATGCATAAGGTAAAGACTTTGCCTTCTCCTAGATGTGAACTAAGCCCTAATCCTTTTCATATTTGTAATCAGAGACACAAAACTGTGGGGTTCCCTGTGCTTGCAAAAGCTATGTGCTGTGGAGAAACTTTTTTTTGTAGCTAAGTTAGTATTTTTCCCATTCATTGTAAATTTGCAAAGAAAATTCATTTCTGAGAGCCTCTTTGCAATCCTGGGAACTGTGCTAACTTGTAAGCTAATTGCTGCAAGATCCTTTTGGCTAGAAAAACTCACGAGCTTTTGGGTTTTCGGATTTCTAACCTAATTCAAGGGTCCTTTCCCTCCTCACCAGGGTGGTTCCTGAATCTCCACGCTGGCTGATCACCCGGAAGGAAGGAGAAAAAGCTTTGCAGATCCTGAGGCATGTGGCTAAGTGCAATGGGAAATACCTCTCGCCAAATTACTCGGAGGTAATGTTAGTCACCACCGGTGATAAACTGTTGAATTGAGCGAAGTAATTCTTATGAATTCTGTGCTTTGCTCTCCTTCCTAAAACTATGCATGTACATTATTAAACATCTGACTATCCTTTTTAGTTGAGGTTAATTGATCTTTTCAGGTCACATTTTGATAGTCAGCCTCAAGTGTTTGAACTACTGTTCTTTACTGCAGATGTGTAGTGTCTCCTCAGTCACCTTGGTTATAAAAGTTAGTGATTTTTTTCTCAACATTTGAACCTTTCTAATGAGTTGGGTTCTGTTCTACCTGTTGCTCTTATTCCCCCTCACCCCCGCCCGTGCTTGGGATTGAACCTGGAGTCTTGCATTTGCCAGGCAAGCTCTCTACCACTGAGCCATAGCTGTAGCCTGAAGATTTGTTTTTACGGCAGCCTTAGAAATGCTATTTATTCACACGAGATCTTGAGCAATAATGCAATATTTGAGTTTTAGACTTAGTATTTCCTTCCCTCTCTTTTCCCTCTCTTTCTTCTTTTCTTTCCCCGCCCCCTTTACTTTCTTTCTCTCCTTTCCTTCTCCAGCAAACACTTCGGGATGACTCTGTCCCTGTCCTCACCCCTAACCTCCCTCTCTCCCCATTCTAGAACAAAGAGGAACACAGAAAATGAGCAGCTCATTATTTGTGCTTTGGAAGGTGTGATGAACAGCTTAGGATGCAGCGCATGTTTCAAACAACCTCTGAATAATAAACATATAAAGAATCAATGGGCGTGCATAGGCCAAGTGAGCGCAGAGTAAAGAAGGGTTGTCGCTACAGGAAGAGTAGACAACAATTTTTAGAAGACAGGAATCTTGGTTTAAACCTTGAAGAATGTTAGCCCTCCGACACTTTTCATCATAGAATTCCACTTGTTTTATAGGGACATTCTGATTAAAAAAAATCTGCTGAGAAAAACTGGGATTTGGTTGGTTCATCATCCTCTCCAGAGTCTTCAGGAGCTTGGTAGACATCCCCACCCTCATCCCTGCCTCCTCCTCCCTTCTTCCAGGATATGGCAAGCAGTAGCCGCTCTACTTATGAAGGTGTTGATAGACCAGTTTTCAATGTTGCACACTAGTTAAGAACAAGGCTGCAGGTTTAGTCAACTGAAATGTTTAGCAAAGAGGCAGTGTGACCTAAAAATCATGAACTGCTAAGATCTGCTTATTCTTGTTACCCTTTGAACATTTGAGATGGGAATTTCTTTTAGGTGAAGAAATAGTCCACCACTCTGTCAACCTCCTTTTATCTCACTGTAGGTCCTCACAGTGGGATTGAGGTTATGATTATGTGTGTTTAGGGTTGTGTGTGTGTGTGTGTGTGTGTGTGTGTGCAAGTGTGTATGTGGGTGCACGTTCATGTGTGGATGTATGTGTGTGCATGTTGATGTGAGAGAACACACCTTAGATGTTTTTATGGCACCAGGCACCTTTCTTTTTGAGGCAGAGTCTCTTGTTGGCTTGGAAGTTTCCAAAGAGGTTAGGCTGGCTGGCCAGAAAACCCCAGGGGTTTACTGGCCTCTGCCTCCCCAAAGCTACTATTAGAGGCCTGACATTTTTCTACCTGGATCCTGGGGATGAAACTCAGGTCCAATTGCTTGCAAAACAAGAACATGATTGACTGAGCCATCTCTCCAGCCCTTAGTGTTAATGGCTGAGCAAATATGTCTGCCATCCACTTAGCAGCATGCTGAAGACTCTGCACACAGTCCCAGGGGTGCAAGATCCAGATCAAGGTTTGTGAGAACTTAGAAACAACAGCTGCCTGCTGGTGGCTAATGAAATAAAATGCTACAGCCATCTAAGTGTGGACCGATGTGCTGTTCCACACACAGTGCTGTCTGGCTCAACACTGCCCTCAGAGACTCGCGGTGAAGGTCATGTTAGCAGGGGAGAGCTCAGCGGTCTACATGACGGTGCTTGCTGAAGAGGCAGTGGCCTCTGAGTCATCGTGGTTCGTGTTCAAGGCCAAATAGGCAAGGGGTTGCCATCCACAGCCAGACTTGATTCCCTAAGGGATTTATTGTGGTATCCTAGCTCTCCTGTTAGCATTTTGCTACCAAATCTACATTTACTCTTTCTGTGTGTTTTAGTCTAATGATAATTTTTTTACCTTTTTTTTAAATTTGTTTTAATAAAAAGAAAGGTGTATATGTATAGGTGTTTTGCCTACAGGTATGTCTGCGCACCACATGCATGTAATGCCCACAGAAGCCAGAAGGGGGCATCAGAGCCTCTGGGATTGGAGTTACACATGGTTGTTGGCTACCTCAGGGGTGTAGGAGATTGGATCTGAGTCCTTTGGAAGAGCAGCCAGTGCTCTTAACTGCTAAGCCATCTCTCTAGCCCCTATGGGGGGAGATTAATATAGAAAATCTCAAGCATATTAAAATAGGAAAAAATAGGTTAATGAATCTCTGTCCATGTATCACATAGACCCCTTAATTGCTGGCTTGTGACCAAACGAGGTTTCTCTGCTCTACCTTCTCCCTCCCCCTGGATGGCTATCCCAGCTGCCATGGAGCTGCATCTTGGAACATTTCTCTCTGATGTAGACGCATAAACATATAACTCTGGGGTCACAGGTGCCGTCCTTGGGACACTGACATGTGAACAGTGAGATCCTCATTTGTCTCAGACTCACTGCAGATCATCAGAACTGCAATCCAGCTGCTGGGAATGAGAGTTATGGGGAGAGCAAATCAGAAGGGTGGTGGCATCCAAAATATAGCCTCAATGTTATTATTCTAAGAATAAATGATTAAACACAGTTACCTACTGTGGCACTTAGCTTTGCCAACTGGACACCCAGGAGGCATGCCTCCAGGCACACTTGTGAGGGATTGCCTAGATTGAGGTTAGCCTCTGAGAATGCCTGTGAGGAAATGTCTTGATTACATCAATTGATGTGGAAAGACTATCTTAATTGTGGGCAGGACTATGCCCTGGGTGGGGATCCCCAGCTGTAGTGAGTGGAAAGAATAAGTTGAGTGTTTGCTTGCATTGACTCATCGATGTCTGCTCTTGACCGTGGATGTACTGCAATTGGTCCTTTTGAGCAAGCTTCAGCTGCTGTGACTTCCCTGCCAACCTGGAACTGAGAGTTAAATTAACCCTTCCCTCCCTCGGGCTGCCTTTGGCCCAGGGTATTTCGTCACAGCAATGGGAAAAGAAGCTAAGATATCTAATATCGAACAGCAAGGTGGTGTTTCCCCAGTCCCTGATTGTCTTATGATGGCTTGTAGCTCTGCGCTGCCCTAACAGCCTCGTGGTGTTTAGATACTGTGATGCTTGACGTGTCTCTTCGAGTTCTCTATAAGTTTGTCTTTTCTTGCTTTTCCAAACAGCTCTGAGAATGAAGACTCTTAAGCAGTCTTTATTTAAGCAAAGTTGTCTGACCTGTAGCCTGTGGGCTGCCTGTGGCAAAAGGAGAGCTATGAATGCCTCTAGTGGAAAAATTGAGAACTTAAAATATTATGAGCTTGTGTGTGATTTTTTTTTTTGTAACTTGATTGCTCTGTTCTCTGAAGACGATAACTTCCTGTCCCGATCTCAAGAGGTTGAACATAGCTTCTTGATTCCATTTCCAAGAACCCATTAACATGATCTTCTGTCTTTGTATTCCCTTTAAGTTTAGTAGTTAGAACTAGAGTTTAATTGAGTTCAGGCAAGATATTTTGGGCACGCCTACTTCTTAAGTGGCTCAGTACATTTTCATCGGAGATATCTGCTTGTCTGCTTGTCTCTCTGGGGATGCCTGATGGGACTGACAGTCATTGTCTGGGTGGATGAACTCACCAGAAGTTGCAAATGACTTATTCTCATGCCATTACTTATATAGCAACAATCCTTATTGCTACATTTATTCCTGGAATATTTGTATAGGTACTAAGTTTTCTTCCCAACTTTTGGTTGCCCTTGCGTGCAGTTGTCTAGGAGTGGATGCTGCGTGCCTAGCTCTTCCCTTGCCAAGGAGTGCATTGGTGCCCAGCGTCTTCTAACGGTGTCCAGTGAGTCGCATTCTTTAGTCTCCTTGTAAATTTGGACTTTGGCAAATTACATATGTTTCCGACCTTCGTGGCTGTTTTCGGTCACGTCCTGTTGATGTTCACGTTGCTTCATCTTGGGCAGCGAAGCCTTACTGTGTTGGGCCTCCATCCCTCCTGCGCTTTCTGGGCATTTCTTTGCCTTTGAGTTTGGTGACATTTTCAGGCTCCCCTTCCAAGTTGCAGCCTCATATGTGGAGCCCCCCCATTCTTTTTGGTTTTAAACATGTCTTCCAAGTGACGCTATTCCCCAAACCGCTCCCTTTACATGTGCCTGTGTGTGATGTGCATACACGTGTACGGGTGTGTTTGCAGGTGTGTATATGTGTGTGGAAGCCAGAGCTTGATGTCAGATGTCTTCCTTGATTGTTTTCTGTTTTACCTACTGAGCTGGGGTCTCTCTGAAACAAATGCTTGCCACCTCAGCTAATCCAGTGAGCCGGCCTGCTCAGGGTGTCCCCTGTCTCTGCCTCCCAAGAGCTGTGGTTACAGGTAGGATGCCATGCTTGCCCAGTTTTTATATCGTCTCTGGGGATCAGACTCCAGTCCTCAGGCTTGAGCCCCAAGTGCTCTACCCACTGAGCCATCTCCCCGGGCCCCCAAACCTTTTTATATCACCTCAGAGAATTAGCATTTTCAGTGCAAAACCTTGTGCTAAACTTAATTAAGTCAGGATGAACCACACATTCCTATCTCAAATGTTCTTCAATTCCCACGAAACATAATAAGGTATGAAATACCTTTATGATAACCAAGAAATAATGGCCAGCAGCACAGGCTGCTGAACTCTGACACCAAGATCAAAGCAGGGTCCTATCACAGTTTTTGTGCTATGATAAGCACGGCAGATATCAATTGCTCACATACCAGCTGCTTAAATAAGTATTTCGGGTGTCAGTGTTAGGACTGTGTTTACACAGTTACTTC